CCACAACCCTCATGTTGACAATATAACTCAGCACCGGTTTGGTCGACACTTGGCACTCGTAGCGGCCCTGGTCTGCCGGCGTGACACTTCGTATCCGCAATACCCACTCCAGGTTTGGCTCGTTGAACACCACAGACACACGCTGGTCGGTGCTGTACTTGTATTTGTCTACGGTGAGGATGTGGAGGTCGTCGAGGCGGATCCAGGATACCTTTGTGAGTGAGGAGAGAGAATGAGAGAGAGAATGAGAGAATGAGAGAGAGGGTGGGGGATTAGTTTGGGGTTTTGAGGCGGAGGGAGGAGGAGGGGAGATGAGGGGAGAGAGGGAGGGAGGGGAGGGTGAGGGAGAGGGAAGGGGGGGGAAGGAGAGGGGAAGGGAGGGGAGAGGAGGGGAGGAGAGAGGGGGAAGGGGAGGGGAGGGAGGAGAGAGAGAGGGGAGGGGGAAGGAGAGGGAAGAGAGATGGGAGGTGAGGGGGAGAGGGAGGGAGGGAGAGGAGGGAGGGGGAAGGAGAAGAGAGAGAGGGGGGGGGAGGGGGAGGGGGAGAGAGGGGGGAGGGGAGAGTGGGAGAAAAGGAAAGGAGTAGGATGGGGCACATGACAATACAATACTTCTAGATCAAAATACATAGACATTAATACATCTAAAAAATTTTGCCTCTAAGACATACAGACAAATAAATATATAAAGAAAAAAATGGCAGGTAGCATAAAAGGGATAAAAAGACAATAAAAAAAACAAAAGATAACCACAATAAAGAAAAAAAATCGCAATAAAGATATGTCCAGAATTAAGAACAGAATGGCAGGTAACATAAAAGGCGATAACAAAGACAACATAAAAACAAAAGATAACCATAACAAAGAAAAAAAAAATAAAAAATAAATAACCGCAATAAAGAAAAATAATAATAATAATAAACTTCAAATACGACAATACAACATCACTTCGCCGACAATCACGTGTCTAAGAAGAAAAAACCCGCAACAAACAATAAAACATAAAACAAAACAGAAACCAAAACGTGCAAAGTCTCGGAAGGGAAAGCCCAAGGAATCCCAAGGAATTAATGTTGATTTGGTTCTGACAGCAAAGATAACGAAGTAATCTGAGATTCCTTGAAATCCGGGAGAATATGAGTGACAGTTCATCTTAGCGCCGGTTCCTTGGTGCGAGAAAATGGAGGCTGTGGGCGGTTAGCATACGGGCGCGTTATGTGTGGATATTCATGTTGGTGGTTGCCGTTTTTGTGTGTGTGTGTGTTCAGCTACTTGTAATGTGGAGGGGCGTACGTATACAGACGCTCGCAGACAAACGCACACGAACGCAGAGACAGACATACAGATACATACACGCATGCACACACAGAACACACACACACACACACACACACTCACTCTCTCTCTCTCTCTCTACACGCACACATACACACACACACACTCTCTCTCTCTCTCTCTCTCTCTCTCTCACACACACACACACACACACACACACACACACACACACACACACACACACACACACACACACACACACACACACCACAACCACACGGGTATCTGTGTTTGCGCAGGTAGTGTATATGTACACACAACCACACCTATCAACATGAATATTCACACACACAAACAAATATCTAAATACACACAAACCGTTTTCAAAAAGTGAAATGAATATAAAAAAAAAACTGATAATAAATCTATATTCGCTCATTTAAACACATATTATCAAAATGCACAAAATATCCCTTTCAGCACTTTAGTGAATCAGAGATATATTTACATGCGTGTGTATGTGTGTGTGGTGTGTGTGTGTTGTGTGTGTGTGTTGTGTGTGTGTGTGTGTGTGTTGTGTGTGTGTGTGTGTGTGTATGTGTGTGTATGTGTGTGTGCGTGCGTGTGTGTATGTGTGTGTGTGTGTGTGTGTGTGTGTGTTGTGTGTGTGTGTGTATGTGGTGTGTGCGTGTCATGTATGTGTGTGTGTATATGTGTGTGTGCGTCTGAAAGTGTACATACATGATTATCTCTCCTCCCTATATTTGGGTCAGTATGCTGTCTAAACATAGATTCCACAAACCATGGGAGTCGATACAGTATTTGGAAATTCATTTAAAAGGGATTAAAGTTATTAATGAGTGTGAAGCTATTGTGTTTTCAATGAGGATTTAGTATTCACCATCTCTGAATGTTATTGAATGTGGAATGTTAGGGGGGAAAAAAATAACAACAGAATGTGTTTGTTTTTTGTTTTGTTTTTTCTTTGATCAATTAGATTTCATTATAAATCGTGTTTTTGTTTGTTTGTTTGTTTTTTGTTGTTTTCGAGTTGGAATGTGTTGTTTTTGTAGTTGTTGTTGTTGTTGTTTTTTTGTTCATTACGTGTTTCTGAATAACGATAAATAAGGGTACGTTAATGTTAAGGAAAGAGATGGTCTAACACGCAAATGGATGTAAATATACGTATGCAAACACAAATAGTAATAAAAATATATATAAGCGCGAATAAACAATCATCAATATATACACGTACACACAAACAAACACACACACACACACACACACACAAATACAAAACACATAATCTAAACCACAACGAAACAAAAACAAAAAAACAAAAAAAAAAAAAAAAACACGCCAAAATAAATAAATAATACACTAAAATTAAAAAAAAAAGCCATAAGCAAAAAAATATTGCTACAACAACCAAAAAACACGAGAAAGTCGAACCCCAACTCACCGACTTATCATTAATATTGAAGACCCTGCAGGACAGGATCGCCATCTTGCCCGCCTGTATGGTCACATTCCTCGGAAGAGTCTTGTCGAAACTCGGTCCTGGAGGAGGCCCTATCGCCGCTGCGTCCATGGGAGGGTTCGACGCACCGCCCTCGTCAGGAGAGCCCACTGGATACACGCCCACACGCCCGCCGTTCTCCTCGTCGGCCCGGAAGGCAAACCCTCTCTCGACCATTTGTCTGCCTCCGAAGCGCCGGCTGTCGGGGTAGCTGACGGGGTGGTGGTGCTGCTGCTGGTGTTGCCTGGGCTGTTTCTGTTGGTGGTGGTGTTGTTGGTGGTGTGGTTGCTGCGCGTGGTGTTGTTTGGGCTGTTTCTGTTGGTGGTGGTGGTGTTGTTGTAGTTGTTTCAGTTGCTGTGACTGGTGGTGTTGATTGTGATGATTGCTGTGATGATTGTAATTGTGGTGATGATGGTTTTCGCGATGGTGGTGATTCTGGTGCTGGTGGTGTTGATGGTGCTGCTGCTGTCTGGCCGCCTCGTCGTTCGATCTCCGACGCAGTAATTTTGGCGAAAGATTATGATGACCTGTTGAAAGGGAGAAGGCGAGACGTCATTCAAAAGAGTTTCCCCTAAAAAAAAATCTCGAGTTCGTTTTCTCTTTCTATTCCAATCCCATTTTCTTTCTCTCCCTCCTGTAATCTACTCTTTCATTACACCTTTTTACGCAGAGGTTAACGAAAGAATCTTAATACGAGATCAAAGGTTAGAGGAGATCTGTCCCTCATATGTACACGACGATTCTCTGTGTTTGAGGACTTCCGCGTCAGGACATAGATATAGAATATACACTGAAGTTACGTCCGATCTCAGGAAAAAAAATCTGGCAACTCTACCGAACATTCGAATAGTCCGATTCGTCAACTCGCTTATTTTACTCTAATCACCAGACTCTTATTACTTCTCTGTATAATTTTCTACTACGCTAATATTTATTCTCTATAATTTTTTCCCTTGAAATTGGTTGCCTTGAACACCACATCAACATTTTTTTCGTCAAAAGTAACTTGGCAGCGAATCGGAGGACTCCAAAACCCAGTCCGAGTTGCCAGCTATTCCTTTTCCGTAAATTGGACGGAGTATAATTACATAAACCGAACGTTAAGGAGGATGATCTGATTTTAATATCGAATGAGCTCTAATCACCGTGAACAAAGCAAGTAATTACTTTAAATATATTTGTCATCAATAGATCACTCCCATTTGCTTCTCATTTCATGCAGTGTGGACAAGACTGGAATCCCGGAACAAGGTGGATGCTCAAGCAAAGAAAGAATTGGACCACATTCTCAACATCTCGTAGCTTCCTCTTTCCCCCTCCCTCTTTGTCTTTATTGTGCTCTCTCAACCTACTCTCCTCCTCTGTTTCTCTCTCTCTCCCTCTGTTTCTGTTCGTCATATTTTTTTTATCTTCTTCCTTTTCATCTTTATTTTTTTTTCTCTGGTTCTAATCCTACCTCTTGCCTTTTGTTCTTCCCTCTCATCTTTTATCTGTCCTTTCCCTTGTGTCCCTCCTCTGTTCTCTTTCCTACCATTTATATACATCCCCCCTCTCTCTCTATTCTTATCCTTCCCTCTCTTTTAACCCACCCTTTCGTATCACCTCCCTTCTATATTTATATTTTTATTATCTCCGTCTTCTCTTTATATCCCCATCCTATTTCTCTCTCTCTCTCTCTCTCTCTCTCTCTCTCTCTCTCTCTCTCTCTCTCTCTCTCTCTCTCTCTCTCTCTCTCTCTCTCTCTCTCTCTCTCTCTCTCTCTCTCTCTCTCTCCCTCTCCCTCTCCCTCTCCTCTCCCTCTCTCCCTCCACCCCCCCACTCTCTCTCCTTCTCACCCCCCTCTCTTTTCCACTCTACACCTCCATCCCCCCACCCCCCCCACCCCACCCCCCACCCCACTCCCTCCACCTAACTCACCTGAGAACTTGACCTCCACTTTGTGACTGGGTGCGGCGGAGTCCGGAAGATCTAAAAGGTCCTCTTGAAGGCGAGTGTGGTGGACTTTCCCTTCCGCTACGCCTGCGGGAGGAGGAAAAAGGGGACAGGGGGTTAGCGGGCGTGTGGGTGGGCGCTTCTATGCGTGTGTGTGCTTTGTGTATCTGGTTTATGTAGTGTGTGTGTGTGTGTGTGTGTAATGTGTGTGTGTGTGTGAGTGTATGTGTTGATGTGTGTTTATGTGTGTGTGAGTATCTGTATGAGTGTTAATGTG